AAGATATTTTTTTTTGTTTGTTTTTTTGTAAATTTTTTTTGTGTTTTTTTTTTCCTTTTTTTTCTTTTTTTTTTTAAAGATGATTTGAGTTTCTTGCACTCGGAGAGACAGACACAGTCAGATGTGTCTATGGTATTGCCTAGAACGCTGTCACTACTGAGAAGGGACGAGGGCGCACGCAYGTGGTTACTGAGTGGGGGCAGGGGGGCACCAAGGCTTTCTCAAGATTTACCTGATGTGAGCGAATCGCCAACGTGGAGTGTGGGGTAAAGAAAAAGGTAGGATCAGAAAACAACTGGAAATAAYTTACGCTTCTTACAAAATATCTCTGCTTCGGGTGGTTGTACAAAATGGTTTCCTGATGATCGGGATCTGCGTGGCCAGGCCGCGTGGCTCCTGATCTCTCCGGCTGGCAAGTCCCAGCCCACGGCAGTTCAGGAGCTGGCTCACCACGGGGAAGCCACCGCCTCKGCCAGGCCAGGTGGAGAGCGGCCAGCGCCTGGGTTTGGAAGGAGCCCCTCCCTGCGGCTGGCCTCAGACCCCAGTCTGTGCCGACTGGGATTTCAGGGTGYGCCACGGGAATCCCAGGCCCCTGAGGTTGTGGACAAGGCTGGGCTGTGCCCCTTTAAGGAACTTTGGTTCGATGAGTCAAGATGCCCAGTGGGACGCTTGGGAGGGTGGGACCCTGGGGTCRTGATGCCACTGCCCAGCTACAGACCTGGCGACTCTTCTGCACAGGATCAGTCCTTAAAGGACGCCTGAGGTGGTGGAGAGGCATGGGTAAGTCAGACCGCGGCCTCACAGCTGCCCCCTATCCCAGCGGGAGCAGGTGTGTCTGGCACAGAAACCACAGGCCTCGGCAGGTGAAAGCCAGACCCAAATGAGAGGAAGAAAAACAACTACAACAACAAAATCCCCGGGAAGCCCTGGAGGGCCCTGGGGGGAAACATAAGAGGGAAACACTGTATCATTGGTTCACCAAAACTGGCCTAGCAAACATGAGCCACAGTGAGTGGGGGTCCTTCCCAGCTCTCCCACCGCCCGGCTGCGGACGGGCTCTGGGCTGGGGCTGGCAGGGTCGGGACAGGAGCCCCCKTCTACTATCTCCAGGGCACAGAACGAGCCTTCGTCTCTCCGTCCCATCGAAACCAGCAGCCTTCCCAGGGGCCCTCCTTCAGACACATCCAGACAAGAGGCCGTCAAGCTCCCCAGGCCTGGGAAAAGCCCCAGCTYGGTGCAGCCTACGAGGCCAGCAGGCTGCCAGCCGTGCCCTTGGAGAACAGCACGGGTATGACAAGGTCAGGGGGGCCTCCCTTCTCCATCCACGTACAGGCTTCTCTGCGAGCCTTCCTGGTGACCCCATGGCCCCAGAGAGCATGTGTTGCATCCCTGACGTCTCTCCAGGTGCCCACCCTGCCAGGAGCCCACCCCAAGTCCAGCGACAGGTGGCCTCACTCACCAACAGGGGACTCCTAAAGGCAGAGGTTCAGCTTCACAGTGGAAAACGACTTGCAGAATTCTTCCCTGGTGTTTCGTCAAAGTGCAAGAGATAAAGGGTCGAACTCAAAGAGGGGACGCTGGACCAGCCCACGCAGCTGGTGTCCAACTCCTTCCTAGGCTCCCGGAGACCTGCGACTTCTCATCTGGGCCACTGGACCACCCTTCCTGCCAGGAATCCTCGATGTCCTTTCCCCAGCCCAGTGTGAAGGTACGCGGCAGATGGGATGGTGGCCCTGTTGTTTCCTAGCTTCTGCGTGGCTCTGGAGGGTGGCCTGGCAGTTCAACCTCGGCACCAGCCACAGGAGGACCAGGCTGGGACGGGTGCATCCACCCATGACCGGGAGGGATGGCAGCACAGCTCCTGGTGGGCCTGAGACCCCCGCCCCCCGTCTACTCCAATCTGAGACAATGCTCGGTCCTTYACTCGGGCTGTGTTGGTGACAATGTGACTTCAGATGAGGGGGAAAACCCTGCTAAGTGGAGGTRTATTCTCTCCACCTCCCCTCTTGGGGCCATGGATGTCCAAACAAAGGCCATTTCTGTCCTGGGAAACACATGGCTCGTGGCAAGCTGGATCCAAGCCAGCAGGCCACCATCTTGACAGAAAAGGCCCAACTTCCCGGTTCCCCAGCCCTGAAAGGCYTGTGGTGGAAAGACCTGCAGTGGTCACAGAATCAGGAGGCAGATGACACTCTGACAGTCAGGGCCAGGCCAGGCCAGGCACCACGAGATGAACTGGGAGCGCCTGCCGGGATCCTTTGGCTGAGCTAGAATTTGGTAAGGTGGATAWTGCTGGAGACACGGGGCCAGCGGTTGAGCCTGTGAGATCTTTGGGTTTTGTTAAGCTGTCTGCTGCAGCAGGACTGGGGACAGGAGTCCCTGGGAAACCAGAGCTGGCAAGAGAGAAACGACCACCTACCACTTTGCTATCCATGTGGATGAGGCAGCCGCAGGAGACAGCTTGGTGCGGACACAGTGGCTTTCATGTCAGACCTGCAGAGGCCAGCTCAGCCCCAAGCACTGAACTGAGGTGCAAAAGAACCAGAGAGAAGGTGACAGGTGACAGCCTGGGGCCAGATACCTTGAGTTTAGACTTTCTCTACTTTTCTTTCCAGAGGAGGAAAGAAAAGAGAATGCGGAGTGTTCTAATTGCACACTTGGGCTTGCTAGAARCTTTCCAAGGGAGCGAAATGCTTACTTTCAAATTCAGTGGCCCCCAAACAGGGCCACCAGCACAGTTCTGCTCCAGGGCTGCTCTCACTGACCACACAAAGCAGGCAGCTCGGGTGTGGTGAGGAGTGCCAGGTTGTGGGCCCAGCCACATCTGTCAAGTCACAGCTGTAGAGGCGTGTCTATCAGCAGCAGCCGAGAGCTCCCCTTCTGGAAAGCCCAGAAGGTCAAGAGCCTGCTGCTGTTTCTACTCCAGGAAGTGACCTTAGCTCCTGTCTGGGCCTCCCTGTTCTTGTTCCCCTGAGGCTCTCCTGATGACAGGATCCGAGCTGCAGATGTGGAGGAAATCTGAGAACTTCCCCAGGAGGAGAGATGGCAGAGTGGCTCCTGAGACCGGGGCTCGCTGGAGCGAATGTGGAAATGGCCCGCTGGTATCCATTCCAGAAGGTCCCAGACGCCGCAGGGAGGGCTGGGCCAGTTCTCATGAGGCAAAGTGCACAGGCTCGGCCCCCAAAGACGGTGATCTGGGCCCTCAGTCATGACCAACTTGACTCCCTTCCTGCCGGGGACAGGGGACAGGGCTGTCGTACAGTGCTTTTGTAGTCGAGGTATCTCKCAGTTGAGTAATGCTTCGTTACTGGGAGGGGGAGTCACGCAGCCACCCCCAGGAAGGGAGACGGTTCCTTTGCCAGTAGCCCCCACAAAGGTGGTCGTTCTCTGCCTTAAGTGTGACCATYGCTGCGCCACAGCCATGATCACCGAAGGACCATCAGCTCTACTGAGGTGGGGSGGGTGGGGGTTGAGAGCTGATCTTCCTCTGTGTCACTCTCAGCATCTGGACTGCGGAGAACACAACTGCTCATGGCTGAGGGCTGGCAGAGAGGCCTAAAGACCCTTTCGCAGCATCAAGTCCAGTGCATCCACCCACAAGGCACCACGCTCAACTACTGTCCTGGGTAGAGGGCTGAAGTGCCTTTGGGGTCCCAGGAGGGCTGTGGACCCCCTAGAACCCCGAAATAGTAGGAGAGGCTGTGGGTCTGGGGTGTGGTGGACGYGAACATGGATCAAGGCAGAAGTCCCTGTTGAGCTGGAAGGGTCAGGCCCTGGTGGGGAGCGCAGAGCACTCTGGGTACGGAAGTCAGAACTCGTGGTACCAGGCGCAGCGAAGCCGGGGGGCAGCTCTTCTGCTTATGTTCAGACCCCCTAAGCCAGGTGCTGCCCCTTATGGCTTCCACCAGACCCTGCGCCTGAGGTTCCCGCGACCCCACCCCCACCCCTGGTCTGCAGACAGCTCAGCCAAGACCTTGCTCTTGACCTTGCTGCCAACAGGTGAAAACTGGTTGCAGGGGGAAGGCAGAAAAAAACCTTAGGGTACTGACTGTACCTCTGAGATGAGCTAGTTTACAGTGTGACTYGAGGAACGAAAAGGGCGAAACTCAGAAACATAAGTTAGACATTCAGTGCCTCCTAGCAGAGTCTAAATCAAATCGGAAGAAACAAAACGAACCCCCCAAAGAGGAGAAAACTGCTAAAATGTTAGGAAAAAAAACGACGTTGAGTGGAGACAGTTAGCTATACTTCTCTGAAAAATGTCTTTTTTTCCCTCTCTTATATTAAAAAGCAAAACGTCAGCTTTATATTCTTAAAGTCTCCTTTTCCTGATTTAGGGAGATAGATAGGTGTGTTTCTAAGGCGGCTGCCTGGAGACACCCCAGGGTGCTCCCCAGGCAGCAGCTCAATGCCCTGAAGGTGAACGAGAAACAAAGTCCAGTGCAGAAACTGTCCATCTGATGCAGTTTGGAGAATCCGTGGCAGAGCAGCTGGGTGGGGTGGGGGCGGGTGGGGCTGGAGGGCTTGGGGGGGGGGGAGACAGGGAGCATCAAGTCATTCAGATCTCAGCTGCCTGAACATTTCACAACGTCAGCTTCTCCTGATCTGCACACCTGAAAATGGAGTCTTTAGAGCCCCTTCCCGAGAAAAGGTGAAACTTCTCCCTCTTTCCCAGTCACTCGGCTTTCCTGACACACCCAGTCAATGCACACACACCTGTGGGCAGGTGCATGCACACGCACCAGGATTGTATGTGTGTGCACGCGTGTGCAAAGCTTCTCTGGATGTGCAGATGAGCACAAGGCCCCCCACACCCCGGGCACGTGTGTTTGGACACACGCACACACGTGTGGATGTGGACACACATGCACACACACACACACTGGAAAAAAGCACTTAAGTTTCTAGGGGGCGTTTACAATGAGGTCCACAGTGTTTAGAACTTAAATTCCTTTTCTTTGTGACAGTGTTGTGTGTTTTTTTTCTAACGGTCGTTTCTCTGTTTTCTTCTCTTTTTCTTTGTTCCGGAGTCTTAAAGCATGTTGGATTTCAGAAACATGAGTTTGTTCATGTCTTCCGGGCTGAGCAGCCGCCTCCTTTTGATCAGGAGGGCCTGCTCACACATATTTACACACCCACTTCTGGCCCCCACGGCTGGGACCGCCAGGAGCCAGAAGGCAAGCTTGGCGAGTTTTGTGTGCTTTTGGGTCACGCAAGACCAGTACTGGAAGAGGTCAGGGGTGGCCTGGAAGAGGGGCTCCTGCAGGTAGTCGTACACCTCGCTCTTCCCCAGCCGGTCATCCTCCTGAGCYGTGGGGTGCTCGCCAGCTGCGGAGCGGGGCTTCTTAGCAGCGGGCTCGAAGTCGGCCTCCTCGGCCCAGGACTCCTTCACCTCGTTGATGAGCTCGCAGACCTTGCCGATGATCTCCTCGTGCTGGTAGGGCGGCACGGGCCGCAGCTTCTGCTGCGGGTCCAGGATCATGGCCACCTTGTGGGCCGGGTGCACTTTGAAGTTCTCCTTGAGCGCCTCCAGGAAGAGGTGGCACAGCTTGCTGACGGTGCCCGCGTCGTTGGCCTTGGCCGTGAACAGCTTCTCCAGCCTGACATAGGTGGGCAGCACCAGCTGCARGGTGGGCTGGCTCTCGTTGCTCAGCTCGATCACCGCCTGCTTCACGGGCGTCAGGATGGCGGCCAGGTTGCTGAGCAGGTGCTTGTTGAGGCTCTGGATGAGGTTCATCTTCTTGGCCCGGCTGTAGAACTCGCAGATCTGCTCGTAGCGCTCGTGCACCAGAAGCAGCGAGTCCGTGACGGAGTTCCAGCAGGGCGGTGGCGAGGTCTCCTCCAGCGACCCGAAGGTCTCCTTGGCGAGGCCCGTGGAGCCCGCCAGGTCCTCGCACACGTTGAGCAGCTCGATGACCTCGTGCATGCTGCGGGCCTGCAGCGTCCGCTTGCTCAGCACGCTCTGCACCACCGAGTTCAAGGCACAGGCTGAGCAGCGGAGGCACATGCCAGCCTTGGAGAAGGCGGACGCGCTCACCCGGCAATCTGTCACGTAAACTGTCCTGATCTCCGACATCACAAACTCTGAGAGCACGTTCTGTACCCAGTGGTGCACCAGGTCACCGCTGTCACGAATGTCTGCGCCCTTCACGCCCAGCACGTAGCTCTTGATGTGGTTGCCCTCGGCCTGGTAGGCTGTGAGGATGTAGCAGGAGTCGGGGCCCACGCTCTGAGAGTGGCAGGTGACACCGATGCCCAGGCAGGCATTGCTGCCCAAGGCGCATGTCACCTTGACCTTCACCTGGTTGTACATACGAGGCAGGTGCTTGAGGGCCAGCGTGTTGAAGTTGCCCAGAATCTCGGTGACCGAGAAGGCCCCGTAGCGGGCGCCGCTGTCCACCAAGGTCTGGGCCAGCTTGAGGAACTCCTTCCCGCTGACCACACTCAGCGCACCCAGGTCGGCGCACATGACCCGCAGCAGCCGCTCGGCGATGTTCTGCCGCTCCTTCTCTGGGATCATGCTGTTGGAGGTTAACCCACTGGTTGTGGCTGGCAAGGGACACAAAGAGAGCTGTGATTAATTCTGCATCAAGGTACTTGTCCTGGCAGCAGCATAATTCTCTAAACATCTAGGACAGGATGACAAATAGAGTTCATCTCGCATGGACACTGGGGGCACAGGCTACTTCTAACGTGATGGTCTCACAGGAATAAAGTTCCACAACTGATTGGTAATGTCTGCCATGGGCGTGGAAATAGTAGTGTATGTGCAACATACTTGCCCTGTGTGTCATTCAACCAGATCGTTGAAGACAATTAACCTCACCCTCAACGTAGGAATCAATGCAAACCAGGGACCTTTAGTGAATAAAACAGACGGAGCCAGTGGCAGGAAGGAATAGCCAACAGAAATGGCAGGTGGTGGCTCCTAATTCTGGCACTAGCTGGTGCTCTCTGACCACAACACAATCACCTCCTCTCCCAGGGCCTCCTGTCCTGAGTTAAGGATTCCTAGCATGAGGTGCAAGTGTGTTCTGGAAGCCTCAGGCCTCCTCCTGCATCACCACAGGAGGCACAGGGGGCTGTTGGAGCAGGGGAGTGGCTGGGGAGTGGCTGGAGAGGGGCTGGCGGGCCTCCGGCTGGGCTCCCACCATGTGGAGGAGACCTACTGTTATTGGCGCTGTTCCTCTGGGCCTGGGGCTTCCACTTCTCTTCCACTATGGCAGGTGGAGACCGGGACTGGTTGGAGGCGATGTTGTTTTCGTTGTCAGCTGTGGGCACAAGGGGACAGGGTGCTGCCTTGAAGGGCAAGAGGCTGGCCCACGGACAAGGCAAGACTGTGAGGTAGGTGAACCACACGAGGACTCGGGCCAGTCAACCTGCCTTCTCCGCAGACAGCGGATACTTTTTTTGGTGTTTTCAATACAATTTTTTTGGCAGGGGAGCAGTACTCGGGATGGAACCCAGGGCCTCCCACAGTCCAGGCAAGTCCTCTACCGGCCCTTTTCTATTTTGAGACAGGGTCTCATTAAGTTGCCTAGGCTAGCCTTGAACTTGTGATCCTCCTGCCTCAGCCTCCCAGGTAGCTGAGATGATATGTRTGTGTCACCACACTCTGCCACATTTATTAGCAGTTTCATGAAATAAATGAAACAACACCAAAGCCCTACTTACACGACACGAAGTACCAAGTTCTGAGGTCCGTATGTAAAAAAAGGTTTGCACAAGATGACAGGCAGGTGGGAAAAAGACTCCAGGGCAAGAGGAACTGGGCAGGGTCCCCATCTTACCCAGGGAACTAAATGTGCCGCAGACTGAGGGCTGGTCCCYGCTTGCCATATTGTCTTGAGAACAAGCTTCAGAAGTATAAAGGTCATCCTAATGACTAGACTGTAGACAGACAAATCCAACCCTCTTTCAAGAAATACACTGAATCTGCCACTGAGTAGGCTGGGGCAGGGGGATGTCAAATTCAAGGTCAGCCTGAGTAGCTTAGTGAGATCCTGTCTCAAAACACATAAAAAGGGCTCCGGGTATAGCTCAGCAGTAGAGCACCTCCCTAGCATAAGCAAGGCCCTCAGTTCAATCCTCAGTGCCACAATATACAAACAAACAAAAAAAAACCAATGACGTCCCAACAATGTAAAAGGCACAATACCAAGTATCCAGTAAGTAGTAGGCGGGTACAACTAACTAGGAGAAAAACCTGGCAACAGAAGCAGACCAGAGTCGACGGAGCAGCCAGCAAAGTCCTCAGAGACAGCAGCCGTCCATGTGCATGTGCTCAGAGGCACAAGGGGAAACACAAACATGAGGAGGGAGTGGAAAATGGGAAAATGCTCATGTGAAAATGACGGCACATGAGGTGAAAGGAGATCAGTCGCCATCAGAGAAGAGATCATGACCATGAAGACAAAAGCAGGTTCATCCTCAACACCAGAGAACAAGGGCTGGCAGAAACGAACGGAGCCAGAGCAGAATCAGGCCGTTCAATACGCACACATAGAAACGGGGTCCCAGGAAAAGGGACTGGAGGGGCCCAAAACTCTCAAGACAAAATTCTTCCAAAATAGGTGAAGACAACAAATTTTGATTCAAAAAGCTCGATAATGTCCAATGAGGAATAAACATTAAAAAAAAAAAAAACAACGAACGCACATCATCCCATCATGATCAAGTTGTTGAAAATCAATGAAGAGAAAAAAGATCTTGAAAGCAGCTACAGGGGGTGGGAATCACGTACAGATGAGCACAAGCAGAAGGGCGGCAGACTTGTCCCCAAGAACTGCACAGCCCAAGGCAAGAGAAGGACGTGCTACAAGAAAAGGGCCACCGTGCATCCTGGGTCCAGTGAGTGAAGGACAAATGAGGAACAAGTTAAAGTGAAATAATAGACTTTTAAAGCAGAGACCAAAACCAGACTTCATTAGAAGAAATACAGGAAGTTCATCCGAGCTAAGAAAGAGAGGGACACTAAGAATCCGAAGGACGGCTGGGCACTGCGCCTGTGGGTAAGTACAAAACCTCTCCCGCATTGTAAAGACCTTCAGAGGGGACTGACTGCCCACTGGAAAACCGTGACCACGAACTGAGGAGATCACAGGTAAGGGCACACTGTGGAACCAGGCAGGACAGGATGCAGAAACAGAAGGTACCCCTGGAAGGTTCTAGCAACACAGAGAGCAGACTGTCGGCAATTCAGCATAGATAGTTTAAGCCCAAATAAAACCATAAAAGCAGAGATTATAGTTAATAAGTCAATTGTGCAGATAAAAAATGGAATCAAAAAATTCTCAGCCCAAAATAAGGGAGGAAAATTAGAGAAAAAAGGAACAGAGAACAAACCAGATGAACAGTGAATCAGGAGAAGGACGGCAGATCTGTACCCAACAGGACTGAAATGACACTAAGTGCGAATGTCTCAAAATCCCAAAGAAAACTCAAGGGGTTCTTTAAAAAAACAAGGCTTGACAATACATTATCTCTAAGAAACCTCATTAAATATAAAGAGCTTTCAAACTCATAAAGCAAAAATCCAGAGAAACGAAAAACCAGACAAATGCACAATCATAACYAGAGAGTCAGCTCTTCTCTTAGTAACTGGAAGCCCTAAACATTAATTGAGTGGACAACGTCAAACAACCTGATGTACATGTAACCAGATTCCCAGAAAAGGGAGTGGGGCAAAAATACAAAATCATATCAAGTTTGGTTTCTGGCTTTAGTATAACAAATTAGAAGCCAATAATAAAAAAAAATTTAGAAAAATTACAACTATTGGAATATTAAACATCATCCATTTAAATAACTCATGGGTCACAAAAAAACAAATGAGATTAGGAAAATGTTTTGAACTTAATGAAAATAACAAACATTTCAAAATGTGTGTGATTTGTCTACAAACAGGGTTTATCGGTAGCATTCAATACTGAAAAAAAAGTTAGGCTCAAAATCAGTGTTAGAAGCTTACACTTTAAGAGCTAGCTGGTCATGCACACCTGTGGTCTYGAGCAACTTGGGAGGCACAGAGGCCATGAATTTGAGGCCAGCCTGGATAATATAGTAAGACTCCATTTCAAAATAAAAAAAGTAGTTTTATCCCTTTCCCACATCATATGCAAAAATCAACTCAACACGGAGTCCAGGAGACAGCACAGGAGTCATTTTGTTATTTAGCCTTTGTGATCTGGGGTTAGGCAATGGTTTGTTAGGTATAACAAAAGCACAGATGATGAGAAAAAAYAGGTAAATAGGCTTCAACAAACTAAAAAAAAATTGTATTTCAAAGGACAGCATCAAGAAAGCAAAAGGGCAACCTATAAAATAGACCTATCTGTAGGGGTGCTCTAAATGTWCAAAGAACTTGCACAACTAAATAACAAAATGAAAAACATTGAAAAATTGACAAAAGATCTGAGTAGATATCTCTTCCCCATAAGACCTACAAATGGCCCAAAAGCCCATAAACAAACAAAAAGATGCTCAAGGCCATTAGCCACCAGTGAAATGCAAATCAAACCCACAATGAAATACCCATTTCCCTTGCATTAGGATGGCTCTAGTCAAAATCCAAGGTAATGAAAAGTGTTCTGAGAGTTGAGGAACAAGACCCTCACTCACTGTTGGCAGGAATGGAAACCTGCTGCAGCCACTGCAGGAAGCTATTTGGAGAGTCCTCAAACGGCTAAACACAGTTAGCACAGGACCCAGGTCTCCACTCCTCAGCAGACACTCGAGAGTTACAACAGACACCTACAAGACTCCTGCACCGCACAAGCTCACAGCAGCTTTATCTGCAATAGCCCCAAACTRGAGACCTACATGTCCATCAATGGTGAATGGATAAAGAACTTGTGACACATGGAAACCATGGAATACTATTCAGCAATTCAAAGCGATTACTGTCACGGAGCAGGAAACCTCCATATGTAAAATGCCAGGAAAGGACGAACAATAGTGAAAGCGTAGTTAGTTCTGGGTTCCATTGTCAGGGTGGGGGGAACCAGGGAACTTTCTGGGTTGATAGTATTGTCATATATTTTGATGGTGATGGTGGCTGAACAGTGTACACAGTTGTCAAAACCTACTGAATCGTACTCTTAAAAAAAMAGCGGTCAATTTCATTTATGTAAATTGCCTCAGGAAATCTGATTTTAATTTAAAATAGTGTAAAGAAACCCATTAAGTTGGTAATAGTGGTTAGCTTTAAATAGAGCGACTATGGTTGATTCTTCATTTTCTAAATACCATGCATTTTCCTGGTAGAGGGAATGCATTGCTTTTGATGGACAGAGCTTCCGTTTACAAAGGGGAAATGAGTGTCCCCATGGGAACCAGCAGCCTGCCTKGTTAACTTTCTCCCCTGGAGCACCAGGATTGGAAAGCCCCGGATGTGAACCCAACTCTGCCACTCGACACTTCTCATTTCAACTCTCTGGGCCTCAGTTTCCCCTCCTCCATGCAAAAGGCCGGGGCTGGGTACCCTGCAGGACTGGTTCTCTCTGCCTTTACACAGGACGTAGAACTGACAACAGTATCTAGTACTGGTTGATGTTTTGAAAATGTTTTCCTCCAGATCCCTCAGACACYCCTTCTGATATAAATTAGGTCTGGTTCCAAGCTCTGAAAGGGCGTGATTTATAGCTTGTACTGAAAATGAGATTCACTCCACGCAGCTACCTGGACGTGGCCCTGCCCCATGCGTTTCCGTGAAGGGCTGGGTGTGAAGGGGGRATAGTGGTTGTTTTCAGAGAGAACACTGCAGGAGGACCAAGCAGAACAGGCAGAACACGCCCAYTCTGAAAATCCAAAACACTCCAAAACCTGAAAAGTTCTGAGCATGACGTCCCAAGTGGGAAATTCCACACCCGACCCCAGGTGATGGGTCGCAGGCCGAACGCAGGTGTGTTAACGTAGGATAGTCACCTTCAGCCTGCGAGTCTAAGGTATACATAAAGCAAAAGTGACCCTCATGCTTCCACTCATGGTGAATGGATAAAGAACTTGTGATAACTTCATCATGGACATGCAAGTATTCCAAATTTCAAAATATCCCAAATCTGAAACACTTCTGGTCCCAAGCATTTCAATGAGAAAGACAGGCAACCTACGCTTCTGACAGTGATGGGAAAACAGGCCCCAGCTGCTGCTGGGCTTGGGACATGGAGCTCMGAGCACAGGCCATTTCTGCCACCTGACGCAGCCCTGAGGAGGGCACGGATAAACCCACGCCCCAGTCGGGAAAACCAAGCCCCGAGAGGCGAAGCAGCTCAGAGGGATCACAGACCCGGCCGGTGCAGCCACCTCCCAAGTCCCACGGAAGCCAGCTACCAACTTCATCATTGCTGGCCAGGCCGAGGGCCCCCTCAGCCACGCTCTTCCTGAGTGGACTTCAATAAGGGGCTGGCAGGGAGGCCTGTGACCACCCAACTCCCCAGGGTGTGCTGGTGGCTGCAGGTGAGGAGGCTGGGCACTCGGGCTCTGGAGTTCATGTTCAGGTAGGGAGCCTGATCTAGTCACCACAGTGATCTCACCACCTCGAGCAAGATATAGACCACTCCGTGTGTGGGTCTCCTCTCTGTGACTTGGGATCTTCTGAGAGGTGAACGTGCACAGAACCCTGAGCATAAAGGCCGGCATCAAGCAGAAGCTCCAGTGATGTCAAGCCGACTTAGGGGCTGTGCGACTGGGGGCCAGCGATCATGTTCCCTGAGCCTCCTTCTTCGCCTGTGTCAATGGACCGACAACGTCAACCAGCTGACAAAAGCCCTACAGAAAGCACYGAGTGCCACACAGACACCCAGCGAGCGAGCGCTGAATGCCCGCTGTCGCCAGTATCATTACTGCCAGTACACACTCTGAGCTGTCGCCAGGGCGGACCGGCTTCCTACAGTCGGGAAAGGAAGTTTATTAGCGAGAATTAGCCCGTGCCATTCAGCAGCCTCTTAATGAGATTGGTGTTACTCGAGGCTGATCCTCTTTATCAGTGGCGCTGTGAACTGCGCAGCTCATGACGCTTAATTGCCCTCCCCGGAGCCAATCCTTTAATCCCGACTCAGCTGGCTGGGATTCAGCCGGGCTCTGCCTGGCTCGCTGGCCAGCCATTCTCTGGCAGCGCCGGACCAGAACAAAGCAACTGGAAACTCCTCGGAAACCAGCCGAGATGCCGGGAGAGGCGGGGCCACCGCCGGGCTCAGCCCCGATTTGCATTCTAATGGCCTCCTGTCCTCCCACTGCTGAGAGGTGGGGAAGCTCTGGCAGAGACTCTTCCCTAATTAGGGCTCAGCTTCCAGAAGCAGGTCCAGAAGCTGGGAGGGGGTGGGTGGAGCATCCAGGGTTTGGAGGTGGAGGGTGGCCAAGGCAGGGTGGTACAGGGCGGTAGGCCTCGGGTCCAGGCACGTTCAGGTTCAGGTGGTCCCCACAGACTGCCAACCGTCACTAGCTCAGGGATGCTGGTTCCCCTGGGGCAAGTCTAAGTGCCTTGAGGTGTCCGAGCCAGGAGAGGGATGCSGAGGGCAAAGTCAGGAGGGAGGCCCGGGGACCCAGGAAGGTGGTGTGAGCTRACAGCTGGGGACCTGGGGTCTGTGTACCCTCATTTTAGGGATGGGGACAGAGTTTCCTGCCTGAGGTCACACAGCATCAGGGCACATCCTTGCAGCAGAACTGGAACTCAAGTGTCCTGGCTGCCACTCAAGAGGTCTGACCTGATTTGAAAGAGCTCATCAGAAATAATTAATGGCCCAGCCCAAAGATCGTGCGGACCCGTGCCTGATATATGGCAGATCCCCAATAAATATGTGTGGGACGAAGACAAGTGGAGCTCACGGCAGAGCAGCGGCTGCCCTAAGAGCCCTGTCCTGCCGTGTTCTGCGCTGGCTGAGCCCGGCATGGAGGATTATGTGAAAGATATATAACCTTCGAGGGGTACAAATGATAGCCACGACAATGACAGGAGAATCAACAGCGGCTGCCAATCAACCGAGCCACCCCGTGTGCAGGGTGCTTTCCACACATGCCTTCTAATGCCCCTGAAGGATTCCTGAGGCACAGAGAGACCCACAGCCAGCTGCCCCCTCTGGGATGTGCTTCCTCTTGCCACGTTGCCAGCCAGGCTGTCTCGGGGCGGTGGCTCTGAACTCGCTTTAGAGGTTCACTCTGGTCCTGGTTCAGGGGGTGGTCTAGGAGTCTGCATGGAGCAGCCCTCCTAGTGACTCCCACATCTGCTTTTTCTCTGTACCCAGGATTGAACCTCGCATGCACGATCACAGACCTACATTCCCAGCCCTTTAATTTTTTTTTTTTTTTTTTTTGTAATTTCAAGACATAGTCTTGCTAAATTGTCCAGGCTGGCCTCAAACTTGCCATCCTCCTGCCTCAGTCTCTTGAACAGCTGGGATTACAGGCAAGCCCCACCATGTCTGGCTCTGAGTGCAAATGTTTTACGGGACCCCGTGTCACAGTGCATGGGACCGTCCTAGACTGGCTGAAGCCCAGCCTGGGCGGGCGGCTCCTCACAGCCACCTCGGCCTCTGCTCGGCTGACCTCAAGCCACACTCAACTCYCACCTTTTCCTCAGCCTTTGGGCTCAGCACAGGGCCCCAACCAGGAAGCCTTCTTTGACCCCCTCGACCCCAACGGTGCTCCCACAGGGCCTGTGTGGACCCCAGGGCGCAGACCACCCTGTGTCATAAACAGCTGACTGATTAGGGCTCTCTGAGGGTGGGTTTCACGTCCTGTGACGTCCAGGAAAGGGCGGCTCTCCCAGGGACCTCAGTTCTCTCTTCCGTTTGAGGAACTGAGGAGGGGGCAGGAGAGCAGCCGGTGTTGGCGGGGGCCCTTACCTGCGTGGGACTGCATGTGCTCCAGCAGGTTGTTGTAGAACTGGAACTGGATCCCGCAGGCTCCGCAGGTGTAGGGCTCTGGGGGGAGACGGGGCAGCGTGAGGGGCAGCACACACCCGGGCACCTTCTGTGGGGACCCAAACGTACGCTGGGTCTTGGTGCTCAGGGCTCCGGGCCCAGCCTGTCTGCTCCCCTGCACTAGGCCGGGGACACAGGGAGCAACGGAGAGAGGAAGACATGCAGCTGGAGATCACGGGATCTGGTGGAGTGCTATTTATTGAGCGCTTACTGCATGCCAGGCACTGTTCTGGGCACTTGGGAGGGTCTTGGGGAGGACCCCATCCAGGGAGCAAGAGTTCTCTGAGAACAGTGACTGGTGCCACAGCCCAGCCCTCTACCTGGGGACAACAGAAGTCACATTCACCAAGTGAATGAATGAATGAGTGAATGAATGAATGTATGAACCAACAAAAAAACAGCAGCTGACACATGCTCAGTGAGGAAGCAGGAGGCCGGGTTGTGGGGTGAGGACAGGAGGAGGCAGCAGAAGGGAGCCAGGGCGCCTGGGCCTGAACTGCCAGCTCTGTCCCCAGCACTCCAGGCAGTGCAGGGCACTAAGAGGGAGGAGGAGAGGAAGGAAGTGGGAAAAGAACAGTGGAAGAGTGAGGCAGAGAGAGGAGGTGGCTGGCCAGCTCCAAGGAGGTGTCCAGAGGCTGCACTGACGGCCAGGAGGGGACGCCTGGCAGGGTTGAGGGGCAGAGGCAGGCTGCCTGGGGCCAGGGCTCCGCCCTGCCCTGTCCAAACTTGTCCATTGGCCCTGGGGCCTCCCACCTGCTGCTGCGCCTGCCCAGGAGGGTGGCCTAAGCCGGTCTCCAAAGCCCAGGTCAGGGGTGCAAGAGGCCAGCCTAGTCCTGCCCTGCCTTGCCCTCTCCAGCCCCCCAACAGGATGGTCACTTACTCTGCAGGAGAGGGGAAGGATTGGGAATCAGGGGACTTGCAGTTTCTGCAAAAAGAGAAACCGTTTAGCTGAGTCTCTCCCAGTCCGCGGTTCTGTGACTGCCATGACTTCTCTTTCTAACCTGTGAGCCGCATGGGGCTCCCAGGAGTGGGGAGCACCCGTCAGCCAGGTGCACAATCTGGGGGGAAGCATGGGGTGGTGGCGGCATGGAGCGGGTCACACATTTCAGAGAGTGCAGGCTTCCCGTGGGTGCTGGGGCCTCTGGGCAGGGTGAGATCAGGCAGGGTCACCCCCCTAGGATTTTGTGAGGACACAGGAGTCCTAACAAGAGAACATCCACGTGGCCGTCCACCTGGGGCAGTGCGGGAAGGTGCTCCCGGGGTCGGTCGGCGGGATGGGGGAGTAGCAACAGTCTGTGGGCCGTGAGGTTAGGATCAACTCTCCTGAGCTCAGTCTCCTCACTGCCTCCCACGGGGATGTGGTAAGGATGGAAACGGGGGAGGCACATCACGCTCCGAACACACGCTAGGCACATAGTAAGCGCTCAATAAATGGTGGCTGCCGGTGGCAGCAGCCCATGACGGCATCATTCCCRACAGTAGAGTCAGCTCCAGGGCACGAGAGGCACAGGGGGTGCAGGGTGGCGTGGCGGGAGCCCAGGGCACATTGGGAGACCTCTGTTCCAGTCCCATGCTGCTACTTAGTCCTGCCTGGCGAGTCACCCCTCCACTCACAGACTGCCCTGGAGAGGTGGTGTGCGTGACGTCATCTAAAGCCCCAGCCCCGTCCCTAGGCACTCAAGCTTCACTGGTTTACTAAAAAAACAAAGCAAACAAAAAAAACCCAGCCACCAAGAAAAGCTCCACGTGCCTCAGTGCGTCACTGGCCGGGGCACTCACTGCGGCTCCGTCAGGTCACCACAGCGGGGAGAAACGGAGGCACTGGCTGAAGCCGCTAGTGGCCAGGCAGTGGAGCTGGCTCGCTCCTGGGCCGGGGCTGCATCACCATCTGTGTCCCCAGCTACCGCAGAGAGTCCTGTCCCCACAGGTGCCTCAGCCTAGGGAAGCACAGTGGCGGGATGCCTGTTCCCTTAAGCCCTGGCTGTCCCTGCTGTGCCTTTCTTGGACAGAGGCTGCTTGTGACCACCTGTGGCCTGCCAGGCTGACCCCACAGCGGCCATTCTGGAGGCTGGGGTGCTCTGCCAGGGTCCTGCCCGAGGCAGTCAACAGGGGGCGCCAGACACCACCAGGAAACGGCAAAGCGCCTGTGCTGAAGGGGCTGGAAGGGAATCCTCCTTAGGACAGTGCCAGGTCCAAAGTGGGGGTGAAATCTGGGACCTCTGGCTTTCAGAGCCTTCTCTACTATACCCCCTTTGCCTCTCCTAGGAAGAAACCGGCTGCAACATTAGTGTTAAAAGCAGCAATGGCTCTGAGGCCACCCATCTGGGCTGGCGGACAAGTTTTGGGAAGGGGAGTTCCTCTCTCCGGGGGGAGCAGACAAGGAAGAGCCACAGAAGGGTGGCCCTGGAAGAGAAGGCCCCTCCTGCTTCTGCCTGGCCCTGCTGTCCCTCCCCTCCCAGCCCCAGCCTCCCCCGCTCCGACCCATCATGCACCAGGAAGACTCAGCCCACCAGGGCCTGTTGCTGGATGGAGGTGGCTGTGGTGCCAGCCAGCACCGGTGTCACGGGCACACTCACCGCTGGAGTTCTGTGAACTGCTGTTGGTCTCTTCAAAGTGGTTTTGTGCTTTGCTTTCTACTCTCCGACTAAAGGCGCTTTCTGCTGGGAGAGGGACAGGACAGAAAACCATGGGGACAGTCAGCACGAGGTCTCCAGGGAGGGCAGGAGGAGGCCCTGGGGCTTGGTGAATGCCCAGGGCTCTCTGCTGGGGGAACAGCACAGTGGGGCCCCAGGAGACCCTCCTGGCCATGCCTAGGAAGTCTAGGCACCATGGGGGGTGAGCTGCCCAGGGACACAGATGAAATCCAGCCAGTGAGCAGATGGCACATGGGCCTGGGTCTCCCATCTTTGGTTCCAYGTGTGTGACACCAATTCGTTTGAACCTGCCAACAGCCACTCCCTCTGCAGACCCCACTCCACGGCCCCACRAAGGAGCAGGGAGGACAGCGGCCTGTTTCCTGGGGGCGGCTTTGAATCAGCAGGAGGTCAAGCAGCCGACTCCAGTTTCCCAAGCTGGCGGTCACCAGCGGCAGGCAGAGCATCCTGGGTCAGGGGGCATGGCAGGCACGGAAAGCGAGGGGTCAGTTCACTCAGGGGCGGGGACAAGGGCCCGGCCACCTTTGAGTGATTTCTGGCATCTCTGCCCGTTGCCTGCAGCTTGCTGAGTGGCCGGCCTTCTCTCTGGTTCTCTTTCAAAACCCCACGATGCAGAAACAGGGTGCAGGCAGGTGGAACACCACAGGGCCAGCCCCGCCCCACCGAAACAGAGAATCTGCGGTGGAAGAGAACCTGCTTTCCAAAACATTCTTGGCACCACAGGGACACCGCTACTCCAAGAGCTGAAGGCCTCAGGGCACACGTCCACTGGGATGTGAGTCGACCCTGTCCCCTTCGTTAGGAGAAAGAACTTGCAAGAGGACAGCCAAGGCTTGAAGTCCTCCCAGAAGGAGACTGTTCGCCTTTACTTAACTCAGCTCCTATGGAACATCAGGGGCCCACAGAACCCCATTTTAAAYATACTAGATTCTGTAGTAGCCCTCCAAAGTGGGGACCTAAGAACCCATTTTGGGAAATGCCAGTCTTATCCTGTCCACCCTACCCCAGAAGGGCAAGTGCTCAGCTGTGAGTGCCAGGGTGCCAATGACCATGGGGACAATGGGTGGGAAAGGAAGCCAGAGTGGCTCCACGGCCTGGCACAGCTCTCCCCACCCTCCCACCTGACAAGGAGGCTCCGTCCTGGGGACAAGGCTCCTTTCAGAGGTGTCTGCAGACTGCCCGGGCCAAGCATCTCAGACAGCACCTGCCAACTGTCTGTAAGGAGGCCCTCCTAACCGAGCACCTACTCTGTGCAGGCCCTGGGCAGACACTCCACAGCTGTGGTCTCCCTTAATCCCCCCATAGCTCTGAGAGGCTGAGAAACACAGCAGAGAGAGAGAGAGGCTGTCGATTTCAGGCCCAGGGTGCATTCTCAACCCTCTAAGACAGCAGTGAGATGTCACCGGGGGAGTCCACGCCTCCATTTATGAAGCTCTGGAGTGAGGAAGTAATCGCCTTCTCYACCTTAACCCTTGTGTCCGCAAGGGGACAGGTGCCCACCTCTGTGGGAGTTTTGTTCTGACCAACATCTGTTTGGAACTCAACACAACGGATGTTGCCAACTCTTGGGAGATCCCTACTGCTCAACCAATTGTGCAAAATTTGCACTGCTTCATGTGCCTCTGTCGGAAAGCCAGTGTGTGAGGCTCCAAGTCAAGTCCCAGGCACAGACGTGTTCTCTCACACACAAGAGCTCCACACTCCAGGAGGATGAGGGCGGTGACCACGTCCAGCTCGTGCCACCTCACAGGCCCTGCCAGTTCCTGCTCCCAACCTGGTGTCCTCTGGCCTGCCCAGCTGGGAAACCCAGGAGTGATCCCATCAAGASTCTTCTAAGTCACAGGGGCAGTCCAGGCATGCCCCCGGCTTGCTGGACACTTGCTTCAAAACATGGAGGTTCAACAGCTGCCACATGCCACATCAGCCCCTGTGGGCAGTGCTCTGCAGAACTTGGGTGCAAACTCCCAGCCACAAAGCTCTAGTGTCAGATGGGGATTTGAAAGCCAAGATCCCATTATCCAGGTGTGTCCACGTCTACCGCCAATGATACCACCATGACCTGGCTGGTTCAATTTGTAACTACTATAGCAAAAACACAACCGTCCCCCAAAACCCACGGCCTTCGAGGCTGACTGACTCCTCTCCTTTCGGGAGATCTAAGCACTGTAAACATCAACCACCACACTCTGCCCAGAGCAGCCTCCAGAACCTGAGCAGAGGCGGGCACAGCTCTCACCCAGCGGGGTCATCAGCACGGCTCTCACCCAGCGGGGTCATCGGTCACACAAACCCAGCGGCTCACTCATCTGAGCGCTCACTCAGATCACCTGCATGTTTAGGGGCTGGCTCTGGCCTCAAGGGAACTGAAGGGCCAGAAGTCCCCGGAACCCCACATGGCCACTCCACCCCAACTCCCACCAAGCCAGGCAGGCAGCCGAGGCTTGTTCTCTGCAGGTACGAATCCAAGCGTTCCCGGCAGGTCTTGTTTGTTTTCTAGATGGAATGACCCTGGGGACTGTCTGCTGCCTAGTCACCCTTCTGGAGCCAGAACGCCTTCTTGCATTGACCAGGAAAAGGCTGGAGCTGGCGTCCCCCAGTGTCCTGCCTGGCCTCTGTCTCACGCCAGGGTTTCATGGGGAGTGCCAGCTACGGGGCGGCCAGGAGTACGAAGCTCTCATCAGCCGCCTGCTTCATGGACAGCAGCTCCACAGGGAAAGGACATTCTTAGACTGAGTTGTACGAGAAGCAGAGAGTGCAAACTCATGCCAACAGGGTCCAGGCAGGTGACAGACATGAACGGGGCGGGATGAACACAGACAACAGAGGGGACACGATGAGAAATGACCCCTGCTGCGGGGCCGCGGGGGGTGGGGTGGGAGGCCGAGGGCGGGATGGCGAGCTGGAGCACACGTGTTCCCGGGCAAAGGAGACAGTCAATTGCTACCCTGCAGGAACGTGGGCCCAGGGGCCAGGCCTGACTTCTCAGTGTCAGTTAGAAATCAAAATTCTCCTCATGTTCAAATGCTGGCCACTAATAAGTTGTAGAAGCTGACACAGGCCAAAGAYAACAGGCCCCTTGGCCTTGATTTGGGAGAAAATACTCTGACTTTAAAAGTTTGCAAATCGTCTTGTACAACCTTCTTTCTTAGGACAAGGGACCTGGCTCAGAGAGGTTAGGTGGCTTGCCATGGTCACAGAGCCGGCCCGCGGCAGAGCTGGGCCCCACGTTTGTCCCAGAGCATGAAGGGACCTCTGTTCTTGCTCTTGCAGGGGAACAATGGCCCCAGACACGGCTGTGGCAGGTTGGGGGTGGAGGAAGTGTGGGGTGATGTGGCCACTGGTACCTGCGGTCGCCTTGCTTGCTGGAGATCCCGAATTTGGAGTGCGGAACGTCTGGGTTTGGGCTGCTGGAGGGGTGCGGTGCAAGAGGGTGGCACAGCGGACCACGGAGGCCGGCGCTTTTTTCCCCGACTGGTTCGTCTGGGTCTTCGCTGCCACGAAGCGTGGAGACGGGGTGACCTCTGGATGTGAACACTCAGAGCCCGTGTCTGGATCGTCCGGCGGCTCCCACCCAGGGGCGGCACCTGAGAGGGGCACGCTCTCAGTCCCCGGGGGCCCTTGGGCCAGCAGAGCAGGTGGCCTCTCAGGCCACAGGCATCCATGTGCCAGAGCTGGGACAGCTCTGCCCAGCTGACCCTCGTCTACTGAGAGCAAGGCTCTCACTCCCTGGGCCCAAGAAAGTCCCGGAGTCTAGACCCTTCCCTGGCTTCCTGGAGGAATACTGTCAGCTCACACTGTTACCTGGAGGCCACTGACCAGCCCCCTCGTAGATGACCTGTCCCCCTGCCAGCCCCGTCTTTGCAGGACGGGGCATCTGAATTCATTACTATAGGCCCAAGCACCTTCTAGAAGGTGGCTCCTAAGCCCCTTTTCCTGGAAGGCAGGCAGGCTCAGAGGTAAGGACAGCAAGCAGACAGGCAGGACGTGYTGGGTGGAGGGGAGGCTGGGGCAGGTACAGGGAAAGGGCTCTGCAGTGCCCAGTGGACCCCACCTGGAACTGCTGCTCTTGGGGACAGTGCTCAACCCAGTGCCTGACACCATGGTGGGCCAAAGGCAGCAGTCCCCTGAGGCTGTCGGGGAAACGCCTGTCGCACGGCCCAGGGGCCTGGTCTCCCTCTCTTGAGTTTTCTGCAGAAGCCAGGATCACGGGGAACTGGAGCTGACTCTGGCAATTTCTCCCTCGGGTGGTGTGTCCACAGTGGTGGGCGGAGCATCACCAGTGGCTCAGCCCCCAAACCTGGCCCACTCCCACGGAAACTGAGTGAGAGTGGGCAGGTCTTCTCCCTTAGAGGTCATGCAAACTCTGCAATGCCCTCCCCTGAAGGCAGGAAGAGGAAGAGGCAAAGGAGAGGGACGCTGGGGTGCTCACCAGGGGGCCCCAGGACCAGCAGAGCTTGGCATTCCCACGCCTGACCCCAGCACTGCGTGGGGAGAACCTGGCTTCACTTCCTGCCTCTGGGGTAGGCATAAGCCTTGTTCCGCCCAGCTCCTAGGACGGTGCCTGGCCCTGGTCTCGGAGACTCCGCCCACTGTTTCAGAGTCCAGGATGGAAGGCCGTGACCAGATGGAAAGCTCGGGACAAAGTGGCAGGATGCAGGGCCTTGCCCAAGGCCACACAGGAAGTGAGCAGCAGGAACCGGGGCACCAGCACCTGATGTACCCTATCTGGGGCACAGAGGGGCTCAGTGCACACCTCTACCATGGAGGCCAGAGGCCACAGTGGGAGTTCTCAGTCAGGGCCCCTTAAGGAAGTCCCACCAGCCCCAGAAAGAAATCCCGAGGCCACTTGGCTCCCACTCTCTGGACTTTGACTTGGGAACCACAGATACTTCCACACATTCCCTCTGGCCGAGGCCCAGGACCTCAGTGACCCCCAAGTTCAGCTGCAAGTACGAGGACGGTTCTTCCAATAGCACGCCCCCTGCCTGAGGCCACAGAGTGAACCTGCACAGTCCAGCCCGTGCTGCTGCCCAGAGCCCACCTCTGGGTTCTCCACCGTCTCCCTGTGTGAGTGCGGGCACCAGGGCAGGACCTGTCACGGGACCCRCGCTGAGACTGGAGTGAGGCCAGTCACCTCTGAATGCTACCTCTGCACCTTTTGGCTTCCGGGTCCTGGCCTCTGTACCACCCTCTCCTGGCCTCAGTTGTCCCTGCCTCACCCACTGCTGAGAGGGATGGCCCCTCTGGACGGTAGCCCGCAGGGATTCCATGAGAGACTCCAGAGAGCCACGGGGCACCTGGATGGCAACTGCCAGGAGCGACTGCTGGTGTTTCTTAGAGGCCCAGACAGGCTGTGAGGTTTCCCATGGCCACGCAGGAGGTCAGTGTGGGACAGGACAGGAGCACCGTCTACCAGCCACCCAGGGAGGCCGCTGCAGAACGTTAGGGCCCCCCACCTCACCCGGGGTGCCACCTCACACATTCCAGGGACTGGGGCATGGGGACAGAGAGCTGTGGACCTGGGCAGAGGGAGAGGGAGCTCCGAGCAAGCTACTGTCCCTCTGCGGTCTCTCTGCAGCCCTGCAGGACATTTTCCAGGACCCTCTCTAGACTGGCCCCTCTCATGGTGGATTTCTTCTGTAAAAACCTGGCATTCCCGGGGACAGCCCTGCTTTCTCTGCGGCAGGGGCCAAAGGGACACCATGCAGCCCCTGATCTCATGAAGCGGACCTTCACCTATGTGCTGCCAGGACCTGCTGGCCTCTCCAGCGCTGGCCCAGGGCTCTCACCTTCTCCAACACCCAATCCTTCCCTCTGCCTGGGACTTTCTTCCCTCAAATCCCTGCCTGCTGCTCCCGTATGCTAACCTGAAACAGCTCTTCCTTGGGGAGTCCTCCCTGGTCCCTCCTCACCTGGCCACCTGTTAGCCCCCCAAGAACTGACCATCATTTACAATGACACGCTGTGTGGCCATATTTCTTTCCCCATCAGCCTGCGAGCTTCCTGAGGGCAGGGGTGCTCCCGTTGCCACCCCTTACCCCACACATGGAGTCCCCGGTCCTCCCCGACACACAGGGAGTGCTCAGCAGAAACCGTAGCCCCCATGACTGCCAGGGGAGCAGAACTCAGAACGCGGAAGCAGGGAGCGTCAGAGAGGGCATGCCAACGAGAGGACAGTCGGGGCACGAAGCTATCTGACCTGTCACCCTCTCACTGGCCCCGAGGGTGTGAGGCCGGTGGGGCCACAGAAGCTCAGAGAGATCTGGGAACCACTTGAGAGCCACACAGGGCCAGGGCTGAGCCAGGACGAGTTCCCCAGGCTCCCCACTCAMGTCACCCACAGTCTGCTCCATCTTACGTGGAACGCTGGAATCCCTTCCTCAAACTGGCTGGCTTCCCGTGTCAGAAACACAGGAGCCATTCGCACATCAGACACCCGAAGACACAGCCCTGGGCCTCTCCTTTGGAACACTGGGATTTGAGTGAAGTGATCAGATAACTAAGAGAGTAAGAGACCAGGGTCTCTGAGACCCCACAAGGGAGGGGAGGGTGACTTCAAGGCTGAGGGAGCCCTGGGCTCAGCATCTGGAGAAGGGAGCAGACGGGAGGCATGAGGTACGAGGAGCCGGCAGGGGGACCCTTCCTCACTCGGGCCATGATGGAGTGCCTGTGAGGACCACCCTCCTGCCATGTTCCTCTGTAAAGCTGGAATGGCGACCATGACCCATGATGACGGGCCTTGATCCCAGGTGGTCAGGACTGTGATTCATCAGATGACACGAGCCCCCGAACTGCTCCAGACCTCTGCCCAGAGCTCTACCTTCTGGAGCAGGGCACAGAGGAGTTTCCAGAGGGAGCACGCCATCCACTGAACTGCAGAGACAGCTCTCAGGGCCGGGGCTTCTGAGGTGGCTGGAATTCACGGGGCAGAATAACCAAGAGAATTGTGCAAAGGAAAGAATTCCAGAAATGTGYAGAGGCCCCCTGGATGTCTCTGGCTGAGTCCTCAACTGCATGTGGGCAGCTCTCTGCAAAGCTGAGCCCAAGACAGACAGCAGAGGGCTGCGACCGAGCCAAGATCAGGAGGTCACACAAGGCCGGGGCTGTCCCACCTGCCCGAGAGCAGCAACGGTGCTGAATGGGTCACAGGTTCAACGGAGACCCAGAAAGGCCGTGTGCTAAAGGAGCTAGTGTCACCCTGGAATCAGAAGGATTCMAGACGGGCCCTCCCTGCTTGAAAACAAGCTTTTGAAGTATCCAGTCCATCTGTCAGTAAATAGYTGCTCGCCACTCATGGTCAGCACTTTCCAAAGGAAAAACCCAAATCCAGTCACTCCACAAGGTAACCTTCCAACGTGCAGAACAGAATGAGTATTCTCCAGGTAGGAAACTGAGATTAGCAACTAAGAGGAAAACCAGTCAACTGCATCGCAGAAATGAGAGGGATGATGGCATTAGGAGACAAGCACCCCAAACAGCTGTTATAAATATGCTCCAAGGTTTAAGGAGGGCTGGGCTTGCAGCTCAGGGGCATAGCATTTKCCTGGCAAGAGCAAGGACCTTGGTTCAATCTTCATTAATAGGGAAAAAAAAATACAATTTAAAGGGGAACACAAATATAATGAAAATAAAACTGAAAGCTTTAAAAAAAGAACCAATGGAACTTACAGAGATTAGATGCTGCAGAAGAAAAGATCAGTGAATTTGAAGACAGGGCAGCAGAATATACCCAACCAGAAGCATAAAAYATATGCAATGGAAGTATTCTTTCAACAAAACTGAAAGAATGAACAGCTTTAGTTGATTTGTACACATTATCAAATGTGCATCTATATGTAATTAAAGTCTCAATAGGAAGGAAAAATTACATAAAAATATCTGAAAAAATACTGATTAAAAACTCCCCAAACTCTTATAAAAACATAAACTGATTGAAGAAACTCAATCTCCGATAGACAAYACTTTAACCTAGAATTCCATATCCAGAGGAAACATCCTTCAAAAGAGAGGATAAAATAAAAACATCTCAGTGGAGAGCACCTTTTATCAACAGACTTATAATGTAAGAAATGTTAAAGGAAGTTCTTCAGGAACAGAGAAAAATGGTAATAGAAGGAATTCATATTTATACAAAGAAAGCAGAAAATGGCACATATGTGGGTAAACATAAAAGACATTTTTTAAAATTCTTAACTACTTCAACAAATACTTAGCTGTTTAAAGCTAAAAGAGCAATTCTTAGACAATGATAAGAACAGCACAGACTAGGAAGGTAGCAATAAGAAGTATACTGTTGGGGCAGGAGATGTGGCTCAGTGACAGCATTTTGCCTAGCAGATGCAAGGCRCTGCGTTCAATCCCTGACACTGAAAGAAAAAAAGTACATTATTGCAAGGCTTCTACACTGGATGTTATGTATATGAAATGCATTCATGATAGATGATAATACATTAAAGATACATAATATAAACCACAGYGTGAAAAAGAATTACTAGCAGAAAGTAAAACAACAAACAGCAACAAAAAAACCCCACCTTGATTAATACTAAAGAAGGCAAAAAAGAGAAAAGGATAAATGACAAGA